CTACCCATAACTGTACAGAGCACAGCACAATCACAGAACTAGAACAATAAGTCCCACTCTTCAACAAAGTGTCAGTTGAGTAGGGCTGCACAATATAACCGGTTTGCCGGTATTTACCGGTTCAGACATGAAAACGATACGTATTGCGATACACTGATCGAAAACCGGTATTTTGACATGCAATCGGAAAACTTCGTAACACTCGAAATCTTCAGATATTTCCATTTTTGAATTGTTCCTTTCCTTGTTTCATTTGTGCCAAACATTATTTACATTTTTATTTTGTCATGATTAAACTTTTTATTAAAGCTTAATCAAGCATTGTGATTTTGTTGTGTTTTTACTTTATAAATCAAGCATTAACTCGACTATAAGTAGTTTTTTGTTAAAAAAACCTTCTTGCAATATATTGCAATACATATCGCAATACATGCTTTCGTTTCTCAATATATCGCAATATGAAAATTCCCTGCAAAACCCACCCCTACAGTTGAGTTATGCCACTTTTAGCAATATTCCAGAAATATCACGGCGGGGGACACCGGAAATGGGCTTCACACATTGTACCCATGTGGGGACTCGAACCTGGGTCTTCGGCGTGATGAGCGAACCCTTTAACCACAAGGCTACCCCACCGCCCCTCTCCAACAGAGACAGGAGTAACCAGTTAACATTAATATGATATCCAAGAAACTTAAACTCTAGGCCATCAATACATATAGCAGAAGCCACAGAATATTGCTCTTTATAACATAGAATGTAAACATCCAGGTATGAACCAATAGCACTTGGGTATGTACATGTTTCCAGTTTCTCCCACAGCAACATAGGCGCATTGTAAATTCAAACATATTTGAATGTAGTAACATTTATATGATGTGTTTTCAATGATAGTAAGTCTCACATACGCTCACTTTTTAAACAAAGTTGAAAAACATTTCACACAAACACAACCTTTCTTGGTTATGTAAGGCTTCTGTTTATTGGCCTTTCATTTCATCATTAGCCAATCAGAAATCTGCTTTCAAAATAAACAAGTTTCAGGTATTGAACATGCTTGAACATGCCTTTTACAACAGTTAAACACGTGTTTACGTTCGCCATGTTACAGAGTTGAACAGTCACGACGTTGATCTACCCAATACCAATACATACGGGGAAAGGGGTCGACTTATATTTGAGTTACATGGTTTTAGCAAGAATTTAGAGGGTTGAGAAAGGGGCCCGACTTATAGTGAGATCCAACTTATAGTCGGTCATATACGGTACATTAACCCACAGCTCAAAATGATTTAGTTTATTAGCAACAAATACATATCCAGCTTGCTATTAATGCACACAAGAAAACTGATTCCTTATGGCTGTAATGATATGAAACAATATATAATATCACATATAGCACATGTCTGCACTGTAGTTCAAGGCTGGGCTGGCACATTACCACAAATACATGTATACAATATATATAACATAGACCTATGTACACTATACAGGAGGTTCACATTAGACAGGTTATCTTATACATATACACCATGTTAAAGAGAATTCTACATACTTGTGAGTTCAGATTACTTTATAAAACACTTTACATCAGAACAAAAGGGTCTTCAACATTTCTTGAAAATCGTTTGAAATTTGAACCACAAAATGTCATGAACAAATCACAAACTAATCACGTTGCTTTATTGGTAGAAATGTTTGAGCAAAATATAACCATCATATCAAATGTTTGAGTTAACAAATAATATAATTATGAGATTCATACATGGATTAATAACAGACAACATCCACAGTTAGTACAAGTATACAGATGGAATATTAGGAGTTTACGGAACGGACAAATGTGTATCAAGTACAGAGAGGACACAATTGGTTGGATGGTTGTTGCTTAACGCCGCGCTCAGCAATATTCCAGCTATATGGCGGCGGTGTGTAAATAATTGAGTCTGGACCAGGCAATCCAGTTATCAACAGCATGAGCATCGATCTACGCAATTGGGATATGATGACATGTCAACTAAGTTAGCGAGCCTGAACACCCGATCCCGTTAGTCGCCTCTTACGACAAGTATGGGTTACTGAAGATCAATTCTAACCCGGATCTTAATCGGTAGATATAGAGGACGCAGAAAAAAAGATAATATGGCGTCCTGGGGATGCACAAAAGTACTCACTGAAAACATTCCACACAAAATATGAAGTCCCTGTTATAAAGATAACCATTGCATTCTACAGTAAAGTGCACTACACCACTACATTACTTCAGAGGACCCTCGTGTTTTCTGGAAGGACCCTTGAATTTGGACACCCTGGACTCTCAGTTTTGTGTGGAACAGTAAAACCCTGTATATAATACATAGATTTGCATCCATATAACCGGAAATATCCATGGTCAATACTAGCACATACATGACATGTATATAAACATAGCTTTACACATACTATAAAATGCAATACATAATCTAACTGAAATAGACAACAATGGTAGGAAACTAACAAGTTACATGTTTTAAGCAGGTATGGCAGTTACAAAAGTTCAAATAACATGCATAAGCAGCACATATAATCTGATAATATATATAATGACATTTGATGATTTATTGATAGTTACTTATTTCATCAGAGTGTCAGATGCCTGTGATATAGGGAGGGCCTCGTAAGGTATGTCGACCCTGTGTCATGTGGCACACTTTTATAAACCTAATTTTTTTAAGGCTTTTTCAATAGTACAAAGTCTAATGCTGAGTACAGACTGGTTATACGTCACGATTTTCCTTAAACTTCCATAATGTGAATTGAACCTGCAATCTCCGACACTATGTTTTTGCACTGACACACCAAGGTGGGTGAGTGAGTTTAGTTTTACGCCGCTTTTAGAATATCCCAGCAATATTCTTGACCATATATATTTATTTTAGGCCTAATGTTTTGTAAAAAATTAATTAACAAACAAAAAAGGTCTTAAAGACATTCAAAATGTAAACATTGCTCCAAGTAAATACCATAAAAATAGGTTTACATTTGTACTTGTAAATGAAATAGAATTTTTAATTAGAATGTTTAGCATTGCATGAGAGCTGATTGTCAGAAACAGACCAGTCTTGGAGTCTGTATGGCACATCATTAAACATTTACTGGAACAAACTGAACATATGCATGCATTACTACTCCTAGACAAAAATGTCTCTCAGATGTGCAATGCATTTGTGAAAAGGTTCTCTACATGTTAGGGATGTTCTCAATAGTTGAGACAGCTGACTGGTTGTTAAACCTTCCCAGCAGGTTAAGGATAACACAAATGGCTACCTATGAATAACACTACCACAGGTAAGAGCACCACCAGGAAAGTATGGTCAGTGTTACCTAGTTATATTCACTGGAGTCTAAGAGCAGTACTGGTCCTCACTTTTGTGGTTCTCAGTTGCAGATGCAGATATGATTGTTTTGGCATGATCATCACTGAATGTATCACAAGCAATAATGGCCAATGGTAAATATATTTCTATAATGACCATGAAATTGAAAAGTCAGATCTTGGAGACCATTAACAATGTTGGCGAATTTCCAAAAGAACTGAAAATAATGCCATCAATGTCCAATGGCGCCAATGTACATGTTGCTGATGATTTACTGGAAAACTGAAAATTGACTTAAAATGCACCCCTTCTGGTCTTGTTATTCACATTTATATATTCTACTGAAAAGAATATAAGGACCTACCGATTCTTCCAAATTATTACAGTTAATTGTCGATGGCATGTCTACGCAGTTTTTTATAGGAATATTTTTATCATTTTTTATTGTATCTATCTTTTTTGTGAACATAACATGAATATAACATGCCCTCTAGAAGACTTGTTTTCTGATTGAATGAACGATACACTGGGCAGAGACTGGGATGCATTACTCTCCTCATTGTCATTGACCATGCGTCAGTTTATTGGGAAACAATTAGATTTTTTTTCATTTACAAAAATGATTATTAAAGAAGCTTCCAACTGAAATCGTTTCTGAGCTTCCTGATATTTGATGCTGGTTGATCCGAAAACCAAAATTTGGAAATATCACCTGAATTGGTTGATAATACAGTGAAACCTATACAGAACTGGGGAAACAGCAGACATCTAATCTATGGTTTGCATTTCCCTGTGTGAGGCATTAAAAGACTGCTTATCAGCAGCAACACTATCTTTATCTGTTATTGTTTCAAGATGGCTGATGGTCAGGAAATTAGAGTTAGCTCCCTTTTATGTACTTGACCTTACAAAATGTGAAACAACATTGCTAATTCTGACAAAATATAACAATATTAGTATGTATTTGAGAGCTATATGAAAAACAGTGGTTTCAGCAGAAGGCAAGGAAATCAGTCAAAGATCCAATTGTTGTAAGGCTTCTTTGTTCTGGACCAAATCCAAAGAGATCAATTCCATAGTTTTGGACTACTGAGGACACCTTTTAGCAAGGCACAACACAATGAGAAGCAGGAGCTAAAAAACATATCACCCTGCTGACAATTTATATATATTTTAAGGATTAGTCAGTAGATAACATATATTTCTGATGGGTGAGTATTTTACCTCTTGAGAGCAAAAGAATTTATCAAAAATCTTCACAAATATCACCTTTGGATTTAAACAAATGATAAACAGACTAGACATCTTGAAACTATATCAACATTTCAAAATATACTACATTTGCAGATTGGTATATAAAACTTGATAAACACCTGTTCAATGCTGATATATACTGACACACATTGGTATCAAAGAGTATAAATGAATACAGAAAATAATTTAGTCAGCTAAGTAAAGTAATACACTTTAGCAAAGTATGGCCAGACCCAATTTTATTTCTTGTTTTACAGATCCGCTGGTCGTATTTTTTAAAGAAAAATAAAAAAAATATTTAAAAAATTCCCTGCTCAAAAAATAAAATCCTAATGTTTTATTGGCCCAAAATGTATAACCTTACAAGAATTTTTTTTAGATTGTTTTTTGCCCCATATACACTTCATAAACTGCCAAAAGTAAAATAGTTTTAGTATATAAAAGGAATACTACTTTGACTGGTGATTTAAAAAAAAAAAATCCCCACCTGTCTTGAAATTTTCTGAGGACAAAAATCAGTAAAACAAGAAATAATATTGGTCTGGCCTAATATAGATGGCAACTTTACAAAATCCAAGGTATATCATTAAAAACATTTTAAATATATGGCACAACATATAAGGTCCCCGGAGCATTAATTGGCAACATGGTTAATGTTCAAATTTAACTAGAAAATAGAAATATATGAATATTAGACAATTAAAAATGGTTATATCTGTCATTATCCAGTGTATAAAATATCAAATCTGTTGGGATAAGACCCTGGTATCAAACCCCTGTTCACCTCATGAATTGCACAATCACAAACGTGTTCATGTTTCATTGTGACTGAGAAAAACCTTAATTTGCAGCTTGAACACCCAGAAAGCTTATTAGATTGAATATGCTATCAAAACTTGCTAACATATATTGATACATCTCTTTACATGATAGTATCAAATTTTCTATCCCTAATATCACACTGTCATTTATTGTAAGGGTTCTAATAACAATTAAACTTGTCTTAATATAGCCCCAGTGTTAAACACGAAAACGTGAATAAAATCATGGAAAAGACATTAACAGACTAGTCAAGACTAGACGACAGAAACGTTTTGGAACCAGCTATATTTAATAACCATTCTGTTAGCATCTATACCTGAATGTCACATCCATTGCAATAAACAAGTTGTCAATCCATATAACTTGCTCGTCTTAAATATCATCTCATTTGCATTTATACTCACTTCATACAACAATACTTTCCAGAGAGTGAGTGAGTTAGTGAGTAAGTTGAGTTCAACATTCATTGTTTCAGGTCATGATGTGACTGGGCTACCAATGAGTATGTTGTAGTCTTATGGCACAGGCAGCAATATCAACCTTATATCATGGTGGCCCTGGGGTGGAAATAACTTTAACATCGATAGTGTACTCCGGTACAGTGGCACATGTAAAGTCACTCACCCTGATAATTTTTCCACTATACCGACTGTTTTCTTGCTGATTTTGTAAATAAGCAACATAATTAACATTGGAAAGTCAACTGGACACCCGTACAGTGTGATATACAAATTTGCTTGCCCGACAGAAAAAACAGTGGACACGGACGTCGGTCAATAGTTATTTCCACCCCTGGTGGCCTGTGGTCAGTTCTTGACCAATCAAACCACTGATCAGTAGTGTGATGTCACACTGCCAATAGTTGCGATTCCATCTTAGTTTCAGTTTTGTGCAACATGAAAGAAAATACAAGGCAGGTCTTTAACTGTTCCTGACAGTCATGCTCTACAAAAATACACATGATTTTATCTGCTGAAAAAATATACCATGAATTTATTCCAATCACTCATATAAAGAACTGTAAATGGTATAAACCTCTTCAAAATGACTTTTGGCTGTTATCAAATTACATTTTACTTTCTGGCATTTATGATATCAAATTACATTTTACTTTCTGGCATTTATGATATCAATTTAGATCTTGCTTTCTGATATTTCTTGTATCAAATTACATGTTACTTTCTCGTATGTGTAATATCGAATTAGACTTTACCCTCTGGTAAGTTTAATATCAAATTACATTTTACTCTCTGCTACTTGAATTATGAAATTACATTTTAATTTGAGGAACGTGTAATATGAAATTACATTTTTCCCTCTGGTAAGTATTATCAAATTACGTTTTACTCTCTGGTATTTGTGGTAAGAAATGACATTTTACTATATAGTACACGAAATTCAAATGACATTTTAGTCTATGAGAACTGATTCTATAGTTTTTGAATGAATTTTTGTTGTCTAAATATTATAACCAATCATAAAAATCAAATCAAAGTGATCATTTTACATTTCTAATTTGCAGGCAGGTCCCAATTTTGAGCATAAGATTCTTGTGGTTTTTGCGCAGGTGGAGGATCTTGTCCTCGTTTTCTGAAATACATCAATATTGGTTCTGCCGTCCTGATTCGGTTCCGCAACCGACGCCAGTGGAATCTGGCACTAAATCGCCTCTTCTTTCTTTTCTTTAACCTCCCTGCATAAGGATCCTCTTTTGTCGGCTTAAATCGTCCATATCTAAATATGAAAAACCCAAACATAATGAAAACCGTAAGACATGGCAAGAAAGCCATGCATTTGGCTGCAAGGTGGTAGTCATAGAAACGGGTATTCATTACGTTATCTCCTGAAATGTACGACAGATTAGTAGCTGGGTTAATCGTGGAGTTCCTGAAATCAAAACTAAGTTGTGTCTCATTGAATGTTTCCAGGCTGTAGGAGTCGGTGACGGTGTGGATCTTGCCTTCGGAGTCGACGTACTGGCCGAACTCTTTGGGTTGGTAGAACATTTGGTTCTTCCACATGTTCAGGTCGAGGAGAAGCACGAGGAACAAGACGCCATAGTTGAACCACTTTCCTGGAATTGAATAACACATTGTGTTAGTGAGTGAGTGGGTTTATGCATTGGCATGCCAGCCATATCCAAATGGTGGAAATCAGAAAAGGGCTTCAAACATCGTATATATAAGAGATTGGTCATTTATTATAGGGATGTGTTGAGTTGGATGGGTTAGGTATATCTTCCTGAGACCCCCTCCACCTCTCTATGTTATATGACAACTTCCTTAAAAATTTGAACTTTTATTTCTAGAAATAGGACTGTTAATGTATCACTGTTGGTTTACCTGTAATTTGTAAGGTGACCGGGTCATGCATTTCTAGTATGTACTGGCCTACCTCTAATGTGACCAGGTGAAGCACCTCTGTTAATCATTGGCTACCTCTAATGTGACCAGGTGAAGCATCTCTGTTAATCATTGGCTACCTCTAATGTGACCAGGTGAAGCATCTCTGTTAATCATTGGCTACCTCTAATGTGACCAGGTGAAGCATCTCTGTTAATCATTGGCTACCTCTAATGTGACCAGGTGAAGCATCTCTGTTAATCATTGGCTACCTCTAATGTGACCAGGTGAAGCATCTCTGTTAATCATTGGCTACCTCTAATGTGACCAGGTGAAGCATCTCTGTTAATCATTGGCTACCTCTAATGTGACCAGGTGAAGCATCTCTGTCAATCATTGGCTACCTGTAGTGTGACCAGGTGAAGCATCTCTGTTAATCATTGGTTACCTCTAATGTGACCAGGTGAAGCATCTCTGTTAATCATTGGCTACCTCTAATGTGACCAGGTGAAGCATCTGTTAATCATTGGCTACCAGTAGTGTGACCAGGTGAAGCACCTCTGTTAACCATTGGCTACCTGTAGTGTGACCAGGTGAAGCATCTCTGTTAATCATTGGCTACCTGTAGTGTGACCAGGTGAAGCACCTCTGTTAATCATTGGCTACCTCTAATGTGACCAGGTGAAGCACCTGTTAATCACTGGCTACCTGTAGTGTGACCAGGTGAAGCACCTCTGTTAATCATTGGCTACCTCTAATGTGACCAGGTGAAGCATCTCTGTTAATCAGTGTGACCAGGTGAAGTGTGACCAGGTGAAGCATCTCTGTTAATCATTGGCTACCTGTAGTGTGACCAGGTGAAGCACCTCTGTTAATCATTGGCTACCTGTAGTGTGACCAGGTGAAGCACCTCTGTTAATCATTGGCTACCTCTAATGTGACCAGGTGAAGCACCTGTTAATCACTGGCTACCTGTAGTGTGACCAGGTGAAGCACCTCTGTTAATCATTGGCTACCTGTAGTGTGACCAGGTGAAGCACCTCTGTTAATCATTGGCTACCTCTAATGTGACCAGGTGAAGCATCTCTGTTAATCATTGGCTACCTCTAATGTGACCAGGTGAAGCATCTCTGTTAATCATTGGATACCTCTAATGTGACCAGGTGAAGCATCTCTGTTAATCATTGGCTACCTGTAGTGTGACCAGGTGAAGCACCTCTGTTAATCATTGGCTACCTCTAATGTGACCAGGTGAAGCATCTCTGTTAATCATTGGCTACCTCTAATGCGACCAGGTGAAGCATCTCTGTTAATCATTGGCTACCTCTAATGTGACCAGGTGAAGCACCTCTGTTAATCATTGGCTACCTCTAATGTGACCAGGTGAAGCACCTCTGTTAATCATTGCTACCTGTAGTGTGACCTGCTGAAGCACCTCTGTTAACCATTGGCTACCTGTAATGTGACCAGGTGAAGCACCTCTGTTAATCATTGGCTACCTGTAATGTGACCAGGTGAAGCACCTCTGTTAATCATTGGCTACCTGTAATGTGACCAATGATGAAGCACCTCTAGAGAGTGTTGACCTACCTGTAATGTGACCAATGATGAAGCACCTCTAGAGAGTGTTGACCTACCTGTAATGTTACCCGATGAAGCACCTCTAGAGAGTGTTGACCTACCTGTAATGTTACCCAATGAAGCACCTCTAGAGAGTGTTGACCTACCTGTAATGTTACCCGATGAAGCACCTCTAGAGAGTGTTGACCTACCTGTAATGTTACCCAATGAAGCACCTCTAGAGAGTGTTGACCTACCTGTAATGTTTACCCAATGAAGCACCTCTAGAGAGTGTTGACCTACCTGTAATGTTACCCGATGAAGCACCTCTAGAGAGTGTTGACCTACCTGTAATGTTACCCGATGAAGCACCTCTAGAGAGTGTTGACCTACCTGTAATGTTACCCGATGAAGCACCTCTAGAGGGTGTTGACCTACCTGTAATGTTACCCGATGAAGCACCTCTAGAGAGTGTTGACCTACCTGTAATGTTACCCGATGAAGCACCTCTAGAGAGTGTTGACCTACCTGTAATGTGACCCGATGAAGCACCTCTATAGAGTGTTGACCTACCTGTAATGTTACCCGATGAAGCACCTCTAGAGAGTGTTGACCTACCTGTAATATGGACTTGGTAGAACTCCTTCCTAAGGAACTTAGGGATGGGAATCTGGAACTTGATGTGTGCTGTGTTGAGACCAGGAAGCTTGATGTCGATGGCGCTGATAAAATGGGGGAAATCCCAGTCCTGCACACAGACAGATTACATTGAGTATAATGCCACAATTTGGACAGGACTTAAACATCAGTTTAATTTCAGAGGAAAGCGTAAAGTTATTCAGACTTTAGACAATTCTGTATTGTACAGTGCTGTGATAGACAGAATCATGACCTTGGATGATAGGATCATGGACACTCTCCTACCCAGAGTTCCATGCACCAAGCCAGCATAGTACCTCTGCCACAGGCCAGAAAAATGTGACGATTCGTCACATCTTGCACCGTCCATTCAATATAATGTACAGATTTTTTTTACTCTTATATTTTTGACGAGGCTACACATCTAACTTAAACATCTTTAATAGAATGAATTAGTTTCACTGAGAAAATATCCAAAAACATGTAACACTATTTCGATTTGTGGAGCGATCCTTTGTTTACATAGGTTGTACGGCTCCACGTGCTGTCATCGAAGCCGACAGAGAGCAAACGATGCAGCCAGTTTGATATCTAAATATGTACTGTCATAGACCTAACTGTCGCAGTTGTGGAAGAATATATATGTAACAATGTAAAACATTATGAAGAGAGCGCCGGAAAGCTTTCATGAGTCAAGTCTCTTCTTATTATGAATATGCGTTTGATTACAAACAAGAGAAAAGTCCGGTCACGTAATATGCAAATTAGCCTGTGGCAGTGATGTTATGCTAAGTCATCACTGCGCTGGAGTGTGGATCGTGGACTGACTTATAATGTACACAGTTCTCTTAACAAGACATGAATGGTGTGTTTCTTTGTTGAATCTTTTTTGCACATGACAGTTTACAACATTACTCAGAACTAGACTAAGCCCCATACTGTGGATAAGTGATTCACTGATTACATGTTGCCATAAGGAAAGAGTAACAGAACAAATGGACTCACTGACAGCTTCTTATAATGCCAGGACTATTAGTTCACCTACACAAACAACTATATCCATGCAGGTGATCTGAGAAATTGTTTTTTGTTTGTTGTTTAACGCTCAACTTCACGATATTCCAGCTACATGGCAGTAGTCTGTAAATAATCGAGCCTAGAATGGACAATCTAGTGATCAACAACATGAGCATCGCAGTTGGGAAACGATGACATGACTCAACCAAGTCAGCTGAACTTGACCATGTGACGTTCAATATTAACTTCCTCTTAGCTGCCTCTTACAACAAGCATGGGCTGGTGAAAACCAATTCTAACCTGGATATTCACAGGTATCTGAGAACATGAGGACTGCAGGAATGGACCATCTAGTGGTTAGTCTAGGTTCACTGATATGCAAGCCATGGAGATAGAGAGGATACATTGATGAAGCAAGACACATCACATCTCGTTATAACCATTTTCAAGGGCCCCTATACATGTTAAAAAAAACGTATGGTAAAATGTATCCTCTGTAATGGGTTTAACAACATCCGTTGATGTCATGATTATCGCATGAACGATTGTAAAACATGTCATTATCTTATAAAAGATAATTGCATCCTAAACACAAGCCGACCGCCTCCGTGGTGTAGTGGTTAGAGCGTCCGCCCGGAGAGCGGAAGGTCTCGGGTTCAATCCCCGACCGCGTCATACCAAAAGACGTTAAAATATGGTACTTGTTGGTCCCTGCCTGGCGCTCGGCATTAATGGGTACAACAAGGACTGGTCGGCTCGGAGTCAGTATAATGTGTCTGAGTGGGGTATTCATGCTTCACTGCATGGTATCTCAGTGGGCTAGCACTATAAAACCAGCTTAAGTCTGGGCTAGTACAAGCAGCCGCACTTACACATACACACGCATGCACGTCGTCATATGAGCGAAATATTCTCAAGCACGACGTTAAACCCAATTTCACCTCACCTAAACACAAGCCATCATTCAAGAGTTTAGAATGAAACTTACGTTTCTTTTGGAACTCAAATTATTTTTAGTTACTGATACAGAAGCATCTCACCTGCATAACGATGATCATATCCATAACCAGAATGAATGATGCAAGGAAAGACCGTGACATCTCATTGGTCGGTAAAAAGTCATGGTTCAGCTTATCCCAGCTGATGTAGTCAGTTGCTATGACGAATATGACGATAATCGATGTACAGGACGTGATGACCCAGAACAGGATGATGCGGTGATATCGTCTTATCCACCATGCTCGAACCTTCGGTGCCCAAGTCGGAAACAGCTTCTCTTGCAGCATGATGTCTGTAACCTAGAGGATGAAGAAATGTCTCAGCTGAAGGGAGTAAGATCACAGGTCATGGGGCAACATCACAGGTCATGGGGTAACATCACAGGTCATGGGGCATACAACGTCACAGGTCATGGGCATGCAACGTCACAGGTCATGGGGCATACAACGTCACAGGTCATTGGGCATACAACGTAACAGGTCATGGGACATACAACGTCACAGGTCATGGGACATACAACGCGTCACAGGTCATGCGCGCATACAACATCACAGGTCATTGGGGCATACAATGTCACAGGTCATTGGGGCATACAACATCACAGGTCATGGACATACAACATCACACGTCATGGGGCATACAAGCGTCACACGACATGGGACATACAACATCACAGGTCATTGGGGCAACATCACAGGTCATGGGACATACAACGTCACAGGTCATGGGGCATACAATGTCACAGGTCATTGGGGCATACAACGTCACAGATCATGGGGCATACAACATTACAGGTCATGGGGCAACATCACAGGTCATGGGGCACACAACATCACCACAGGTCATTAGGGCATACAACGTCACAGGTCATTGGGGCATACAACATCACAGGTCATGGGGCATACAACATTCACAGGTCATGGGGCAACATCACAGGTCATGGGGCATACAACATCACAGGTCATTGGTGCATACAACGTCACAGGTCATTGGGGCATACCTCACAGGTCATGGGGACCATCACAGATCATGCATCATACAAGCATATCATAGGGCATACAACATCACAGGTCATGGGACATACAACATCACAGGTCATGGGGCATACAACATCACAGGTCATGGGACATACAACATTACAGGTCATGGGGCAACATCACAGGTCATGGGGCATACAACATCACAGGTCCTTGGGGCATACAACATCACAGGTCATTGGGGCATACAACGTCACAGGTCATGGGGCATACAACATCACAGGTCATGGGGCAACATCACAGGTCATTGGGGCATACAACATCACAGGTCATGGGGCATACAACGTCACAGGTCATGGGACATACAACATCACAGGTCATGGGGCATACAACATCACAGGTCATGGGACATACAACGTCACAGGTCATGGGGCATACAACGTCACAGGTCATGGGGCATACAACATCACAGGTCATGGGGCATACAACATCACAGGTCATGGGACATACAACATCACAGGTCATGGGACATACAACACAGGTCATGGGGCATACAACACAGGTCATATATAATTGATATCCAACCGAGTGTGAGGGCTTCCTTGTGTAAGTCATAACAATCCAATGTAGCAATGTAACTTTATGACACCATGTTCAATGGCACCAAAATAACTAAAATGTCTATACTTTAAACGTATTTATGCACATTCTATTCCTTTGAATATAATTTTATAAACAAAGTAGAACAGTAGTGTTGCCATAAGAACCTACCATCCATGCAGTGAAGAAATCTCCACACCACGTGCCACACGCTGCAGCCTTGGTGAAGAAGGAGTTGGAGATGCCCATGAGGGAGGAGATCCGCCACTGCTCCGTAGAGTCGCCACCAATCATCAGGAGGCCGTTATACAGCCAGGATATGATGAAGAGGCACAGGATGACACAGAAAAACATAGTCATCCAGGAGCCTTGGTTGCTGGAGAACATCTTCAGCTTAAACAGCCGATCTGAAAGAAGAAATTACCTTACAGAAACAATTCTCAGAGCAATCTAAGAGTCCTTATTATAATAGTGAGTGAGTTGGGTTTTACGTTGCTTTTAGCAATATTCCAGCAATATCACGAGGGACACCAGAAATGGGTTTCCCACATTGTGCCCATATGGGGAATAGAACCCTGGCCTTCGGCGTGATGAATGAACACTTTAACCATTAGGCTACCCCACCACCACCCCTTATTATAACAAATAACCAGTACCACATCATGAAATATTTTGCTCTATTGTATCAATGTATATATATTTTCTAAAACTTGTGTTTTGGGTGTATTGAATGATGAACAGTGTAAAACCTAAAATAAATAATTAATATTGCATGATGGCATTAGCAAAACCTTTATCAACAAAATTTATACTACTATCTGGAACATGATGCTTGTATCATGAAAAAGAAACTGTATAACTTAATCTGTGCTGCATGTATCACTATGTTCAAAAAGAAAGTAGGGTTGCACCATCTTCCAGCAGACAGGATAGTCTATGAAATGACGAATAGAATATTTGATGCTTCAGAGAGCAATCAACATGATCAGACTACAGAACTGCGAAAGACAACATTCCAAAGTTTCAGGACTCCACGTCATACTGGGCATATCAGTATCAGCAGTCACGATGCTTCAACATCCTTTGTATCGCCAGGGTTCACATTTCCATAAGCTACGCTAGTCCCAGATTTCCACTGTTCTCACTACTGCAAATTACCAGCCCTTGATTGTCATTAATAATTTACCTTCCAATCAAACATCAACATAAGGAAACCTTTGGAAGCGAACGTACATGCCACCACCAGTTTTAATGGACTGGATGATTGCCGCTCAAATGTATAAACTATTCAAGGGGATTTCTTTTGCAATTCAAACAGTTTTGGGATGTTGAATTTCTTGCAAAGCAATTCAAATGGTTTTGGATGTTGAATTTCTTGAAAAAAATTCAAGGGGATTTCCTTTGTATGTCAAACAGTTTTGCAATGTTGAATTTCTTGAAAACAATTCATGTGGATTTCTTTTGTCAAACAGTTTTGCAATGTTGAATTTCTTGGAAACAATTCATGGGGATTTCTTTTGCATGTCAAACAGTTTCGCAATGATGAATTTCTTGCAAATTCCTTAAGGCCAGATCAATTTTATTTCTTGTTTTACAGATTCGCCTATCATATTTTTTCAAGAATAAGAAATAAAATATAAATTAATTTTCCCCATTCAAAAAATAAAATCCTGATGTTTTTATTGGCCAAAAATGTAAAGTTACAAGAAAAATGTTTTTTAAATGTTTTTGCCCCATATACACTTCATAAATTGCCAAAAGTAAAATACTTTGAGTATTTAGAAGGAATATTACTCTGACTAGTGATTTTATTTTTTTTCCCTCCTGCCTTTAGGTTTTCTGAGGACAAAAATCTGTAAAACAAGAAATAAAATTGGTCTGGCCTAAAATATCATAATTTGACAGCCCTGCCAAATTGCTGCTATCGTCAAAACAACACTGAGGCTGTTTTGTTACTTGCATTCTGAATGGTCAATTAGACTGAATAGTGAATCAAACTGGCAGATCAAGAGCAGGGCATATGAGAATGCAAAAATGCAGAAATGGATCTAGGGGTTAGAGCAGGCCTACTGAAATACAACCGCTGTATGCAGAGGATGAATGCTACAGTGAACGAGTAAGTCTGTAAGGGTTGGTAGACCTCAGTAATCCATTACTTCAGTGTTCACTAGTCTACCCCTTCACCAACCTGTGAAGATCCGGGTTGGAATTGATCTTCGGTAACCCATGCTTGTCATAAGAGGCGACTAATAGGATCGGGTGGTCAGGGTCGCTGACTTGGTTGACACATGTCATCGTATCCCAATTGCATAGATTGATACTCATGCTGTTGATCACTGGATTGTCTGGTCCACACTTAGCAATATTCCACCTATATGGCGGCAGTCTGTAAATAATCGAGTCTGGACCATACAATCCAGTGACAAACAGCATGTCTACACAATTGGGAACCGATAACATATGTCAACCAAAACAGTGAGCCTGACCACCTGATCCCGTTAGTCGCCTCTTACGGCAAGCATGGCTTACTGAAGACCAATTCTAACCCGAATCTTCACCTGTAATTTTGAAATGGACATAAATGAAATGAATAAAAATGACCTAAACAGTTTATTGATTGGGAGATCAATGCCGGACAATGCCACACAGCCTGACCAATTTGACAGTCTGGTAGGCTTCCGGAGTCAAGAACTTCTAAACTAGAAGCGTGAAAGGCGGCATTTGGGCCAAAATGTTGAATGGTTTTCCAAAATAAGAGTGAGTGAGTGAGTTTAGCAATATTTAGCAATATTCCAGCTATATGGCGGTGGTCTGTAAATAATCGAGTCTGGACCAGACAATCCAGTGATCAACACCATGAGCACCGATCCGCGCAATTAGGAATCGATGACATGTTTTAACCAAGTCAGCGACCCTGACCACCCGATCCCATTAGTTGCCTCTTATGACAAGCATGGGTTACTGAAGGCCAATATTCTAACCCGGACCATCACGGGTCTCCAAAATAAGAGAGGGAAGAAACCTGAAAATGATTATAAAGAAACTACTATTCATGATACCAAAATACCAATGTAACCATGGTAACTTGAAAAAGAAACTGGTCATATTTGATCTACCATGATGCAGAATCTTACCAAAACATCTGAAAAATTCTCACATGCTTACATGAAGAGATTCAAACTACATATGTGCTGAGCATGCAATCCTCATTCCATAGCTAGAATATATTGTATCTTAAAATCTTGTCAGATTGGAACCACTAATGGGGAATTTGAATCCCCGATTAGCCTGAATTTGATCCTTTGCCTTTCATGATTTGTCTAAAAGAAACTAATGCCCGTGATTCGTCTCTATTTTGTATTTTCCTGAACACTTAATGAGATTATGCTACATAAGTGAACTGAACAAGAATTTTTATCTGTGTTCAGCTCAAATCATTTCCCAAGTAGGAATTAGTTGTTGGGAAATTTATCATGTTTGTCATGTTTGTAGTCAATTGGATCAGATGGACAATTATCATAATTAGCGGTATTATTCAACTATTAATAGGTTCAATGACATTAATCCACACTGCCGATTGTTACAAAAGCAGCAAAATGATCAGGCCATGGAAACATTGAGTTAAATATAAAGTCTGAACATGTTAGGCAAAGTTAAACATGGCAGTTCCCTTTTGCAAAACCCCAAATTTGTTCTCTTGTACTGGTATGGTAGAAAAAACATTCATTATACACAAACGACCTTGTGAAATCATGGTGTCTACCACTGTTGACCCACAAGCTAACCGAAAAATTCTATGTAAAATTTTCTTAATCCATAAGAATATTTGTACACTTTTTAATTATCATACCCCAAAACCATTTCGAAACAATATTCCATTTTCCATTTACCACATATGAACATCATATATATCGTGATCATTTCAAAATGATCCAGAATAACACCCAAATTACCTTATGATCATTCCAATACTTACTGAAAACAATTTCATGAAAGAGGAGTTTTCCAATAATGCATCCAACTATTATTGCCACAATCCACAGAAACACCTTTAGCAGGCTCCATGCATTCGACGGATAGCGGGTGCATACAAAAGCAAAGTCATTTCCGATGACTGGAATTGAACATTCTTTACGGCTGTGTGCAACAGGATCCTCAGCGTAAATGAGAAAATTGCAAAACGTTACAAAATACGCCACAAACAACCTGCAGTATGGGTGCTGAAAGTAGTATCGAAAATCTCTCTCCATAAACAGGGAATAAACACTCGCTGCGTCGACTTCGTCCAGTCCCTGTTCGTTTAGACTTAACATCTCCGTCCTCCGGTTTTGTGGTGCCATTCTCTTCTTTGGTTCTTTTTTTCCTATCAGGCTTGTCCCCTTCACCATCGACTTGGTCATCCAGTTCAATGGTTTCGAAACTGGCAATCGGGGCTACGACATGCTCAATGGGTATGTCAGGTTTTTCATCTTCAGGTGCTTTCAGAGGTTGTTTCTGTTCAATGACTTCCGAGTCTGTGTTTTGGGGCTTCATGTTGTTTTCAGTAATTTCCACCTGTATGACCTCAGAATCTTTGACAATACTCAGCTTAGGTTTGTCTGGCTCATCCTCTTTGTCTTCTTCTTTCTGTTCCTGAAACCAACAGGAGTATAAATAGAAAATGACACATAACATCAACCCGAAAATAGAGCCACTGCATTGTAGCTCTCCTTGTAAGTAACAATTTACAATGTCACAAAGTGCACAAAATTTCCAGTCAGCATTGATGTTTCAATACTTTCAGTATAAATATGAAACTTCAGTAAACTGTACAGTTCAGTTTCCTCAGTCTGGCAAATTCAGAGAAGAAAATAATTTTATAGCCAAATATGCTGACTGAGAGAATTCATGTTCAAATCAAGGTCAGATATTGGAGGGTATTGTGAAAAACGATTCATATGTGTTGATTACCACAAATATGACAAATAATAAATTTCATTTCAATTTTACTTGACTTTAACAACTTGACAAGTCAGTCAGTGAGTACTAAAAGCCGATCCATTTAGTTTGTTTGGATATTTAAAAATTCAGCAATATCCTGTTATATGGTAACGGCCGCACATATCCAGTGCATGCTCAAGGCACATCTTATTGTCAATCTCAACTCCCTAGGGATCATACAACTCTTGCAGCCACTGGCAGTTGCCTTGTATAACAAATATATACCTGCTGGCTTTCCCATTTTTAAATTATTATTGAGGTACCCATTCACAGCTGGGTGGACTGGGACACATAGTCACAGCACTTTGTCCAAGTTTACTCACACACTTTTTGCAAGTTTACTGCTGTATCTGCAACTAGGTGTTTGCACGTATTCATGTGGCCATCATTTTGTCATATACCAACGGATTCGTGGGTTCTTTTAAGTGCACAGGGTTGTGTACTGTACACTAGACCACACTTTGAAGACACCTGTTTTATTCTTCCCCAAATGGGAACAATCAGTGAAGTTATTCCTGGTGGACCGTAGACTACCATAAATGAAGTTATCTTAGGCCAGACCAATTTTATTTCTTGTTTTACGGATCCGCCTGTCATATTTTTTCAAGAATTAGAAAAAAAATATAAAATAATTTTCCCCGCTCAAAAAATAAAATCCTAATGTTTTTATTGGCTAAAAATGTAAACATACAAGAAATTTTGTTTTTAGATTGTTTTTTGCCCAAAAGTAACATATTTGAATATTTAGGAGGAATATTAGTTAGACTGGTGATTTGATTTGATTTTCGTTCCCTCCTGCCTTTAGGTTTTCTCAGGACAAATATCCATAAAACAAGAAATAAAATTGGTCTGGCCTTATTTTAATATACATAGGTAACAAATAAAAATAATAAGGATTAATTCTTAATTTCAGACTGGCCCAGTCATTCCAGTTTAGAGTTTGAAGCCTTTCTTCATTTATTCTAGGACTAGGTGGTCCCATGCCATGATCAGTAAATGAGTCAATAAGACTGATTGATTTAATTAGGATTATACCTAAAGGCCAACACATTGCAGCTTGTGAGGCACCGACATGGAGTGATGCCAACACAATGACCTCATGCGAAACACTGTCATGTAACAATATGAAAATGAGAGTGTTTATCTCATAACCCTGTATACCACAATTAGAGGGAACTCTCCTGGCAATGTGATTCTAGGTTACCATGGTTACGGCAGAGAATCAGTACATCTGCAAATTTCACCAATTGGTGGATAATTGGATTAATCGCCAGTGAGACTCAGAGGAACTCAACCATCAAAGCTCAGTGTACTCTGGATGGTGTGGGTCATGGGTCAAGAGGTCAAAGTTGTGAGAATCAGGATGAAAGAACTAATGAATTTGTTATGGCGTAACATGTAATTCAGTAGTCCTGGTAGTCCAGCTCAATGTCCTTGAACCACATTTTGTACATTTCCACCAAGACTTGACTGTAATGCTATAGCCCTAAATACTGACTGACTGAGTTTGGTTTTACGCCGCTTTTAGCAATATTCCAGCAACATCACGGCAGGGGACACCAGAAATGGGCTTCACACATTGTGCCCATGTGGGGATTCGAACCCGGCGTGACGAGCCAACGCTTTAACCATTAGGCTACCCCACCGCCCCTATAGCCCTAAATAAACCATGTCCAAAGTTTTTCACAGCTTCCGAATCTCACATCTCACTAGAGCTCCACTCACACTTCAGGATGCGATTTCCGGTGTTTTTCTCAGTACCAAGTGTAACCTGGCTTACAGGTCTGTCTGCACCATAAATAATTTGGTTGCACCATAAAGTAATGTCACTGGTTCTAAAAGTATAAAACATAAATACTTGTTCAGTAATTTTCATAACAAGTTCTCAGTATCAGATACATTCAACAAAACCTGGCCCCATTGATGATAAATGATTCCGTTTCAATTTTGCATTACCTTTATTTATAAATCTCAGCCACATAATTTCTGCTGCATAACTGATTTATGTTTACACAAATGTTTATGCTGTAACAAGTCACTCGGAGAGTGAAACGTATTACTTCCAGTCACTTACTTCCCAACTAAAACACACGATGACAGCTATAAGATGCTGGAGGATTTATTGTTACCCACACCAGGTGCAACCTGTTACTGAAGGTAACCTGCCCTAGCCATTGTTACCATCCTCGATAATCTCCAGGGTATACGTTACGATCACTCTCCACTATACTCTGGATGCATCCACGGTTTGGCCTGATAATTATATTACCTCCCTTTGCTGGCTCCGCATTCTCACAGTAGCCAATCAGCTAAGTCGCCGTTACATCCAGCTTGCCAGTGTCAACAAAGTCACGAAGGTCTGTTCGCAGTGCCACTCAGATTTTTCATGAAATAATACAGACAAATTGACAGATCTGAGACTTTAAAAAAATATATAAAAGAACTCCTTCTACCTCTTTCAGAGTACCTCTGCATCAATTGTGTTGCCAAGTTCAAACAGTTAGATCATTTAAGTAGCGAAAGTGAGTTGTGATTGGTTCGCTCAACTTCCCAGTGTAGACACCTGATTGGATAAAATGCCAGCCAAGGGAGGTAATAAAATCATCGGGCCGTGGATGCATCCAGGGTATATTGGAGAGTGATCGTAACGTATACCCTGGAGATTATCGAGGATGATTGTCAACATGCACACAGTGTAAATAGTGAAATTGCACCTTGCACTTAAAAGTTGTTTGTTTCCTGAACCTAAGGAAATCCAGACTTGCTTCATTAATACATTAGCATTCCAGAAAGGGATGGAAGGGAAAATATTTCAGTTCAGGGAGTCTGTGAGACAGACTAATCTATGTAAGTCTATAGTCATAGTAGTAATTCCAATAATCATGGTAAAATCATCTTCTTTTTATTTAAATTCCTAACGCTGACAAAAACTTGAAGCAATGAAAAATTGTGAATACTTTTAGGCTTGTATGGATCAATCATCTACAAAGAAGAACAATTCACATTACACTTAGATAGCTTACAAATTTCACTGAAGGATTCAAGATTATTAATAGATATGTTTCTTAAATTTGAAAAATAAAACTGAAACATGCTGAAATGATCATATTTATGATAACTGAAGATAAGACAGATTTGAACAAGCATTGTCACTAAGGTGACATAATTCCCCACCACAAATTATCAAAACAAACTAATAAAGTAATGAAAGTGAAGGTCGTAATTTAAGATGAAGTTAAATGTAAACAAAAACATGACCAGTCAACCTCTCTTGATATCTTGCTCTGTAGTTGTTCAAACGCACAAATATTTTCAAGACTCACTTTGACCTTGACGTGAATGTCTTAGTGTATGAAATATGCAAAAATAGTAATAAGGAAATTGTATATTGAAAAACATTCAAGGGAAGTCTTGAAAGTGTATGAAGAAAATCCAGTGAACGGTTCTTGAGGTATCTCGCTGACAAGCTTAACATGCAGCTTAACATGCTGAAATCTTCAGAGTGTCGCCATGACTTTGAAAATTAGGTGAAGGTCAACTCAATCGACTGGGCCCTGTGCCTTCCCTAGATAAAGCTTGGTGTTGAATATGAAGAAAATCCAGAGAATGGTTCTTGAGATATCTCGCTGACAAGGGTAACACGTTAAAGTCCCCTTGGGACCTTGAAATGAAGGTCAAGGTCACCAAACCTAACTGGGACCTAAACGCGAGGCGGGGAATAAAAAAGATTTTGAATTTAGCCCTAATATAAATATTATTATTTTATTATTATATTATAGGATATTTATATAGCGCACATATCCACGCAACTAGTGCATGCTCAAGGCGCTTGGTTTTTTCCCCTCGATCATTGGATGTCAATCTCAATGGCACATCGTATTATCAATCTCAACTCCCTGGGATCATACAACTCTTGCTGCCACAAGGCACACCGAAGTTATTGCAGCTTTCCCATCCTTACGAGGTACCCATTCACAGCTGGGTGGACTGGGACACATAGTCACAGTACTTTGTCCAAGTTCACTGCACGCTGCTGTACCGCTAACTAGGTGTTTGCATTACATTCATGTGGCCACCATCTGGTCATATACCAACGGATTCGTGAGGTTCTTTAAGCGCACAGGGTTAAGGGTTGTGTACTGTACACTAGGGTGAGTGAGTGAGTTAAGATTTAACGTCACATCGGCATTATCTCAGCCATATCGCGGACGAGAACAATGTAATTCAAATCAATAAAAAATAAATTGAGATAATAAAAACCTGTCATCGAAGGACAGTAAAACTACTAGAATACCACAGCTCTTAATTTAAAACTAGTACGCTATCATAAAAATAGATCACTATAGACAACAATACAATATAAAACGGGGCTATAGATCACCAGCAACTGAAGGCTGATCACAATACCAGAGACCATGGGGACTTACAGTACCTTTGCTACCTGCTGCATGGACCCTAGTTGGATTTACATCATCCCTTCAGCCGCTGGCAATTGTAGGAAAACTTAGCCAAAATTAAAAATACCAAAAATACTACGTTCTAAAGAGTTGGTAAGTTTAATTGTACTTTGAAAGTTTTGGGACATACATACCCTCTCAGGAGGTCATGTACACTACGGGTTGTGACAACACTGAAAGAGTCTGCACACAAAC